AGATCTTATCGATTACCATCTTTACGTTTATTTACCGCATTATTCATCGCACGAATCACAAGCATAAATAAACATAACATACATCTAATGCATGCATACGGTGGGATGATCATTTCCTTGCCTATACGACCCATTCGAGCCAAAATGGGTCTATACCTATGTACATGATAAAACAAATAAATAGAACTACTTCTATTACAATTGATTTTATCTACCCGTACAAGCACAGGCCTTCAAAATTTACAACTTGTAAAATTACCTACACAGGCGTGGGCCTTTTGCATCGAACGGTCTCCACCTTGATCTAATCTTTTAACGATACAAAAATTTAACATTTTACAAATCATAATTCAAGAGACTCGCAGGTCTCGATAAATTACATCCGTTCAATCACATTGAATAAAAATGCAATCATTCATCCATATTGAATAAAACATTCAAACATTCAATCATATTGAAAAATGCAACATTCAATCATATTGAATAAAAGGCTCATGATCATCCCTAAATTAAATCATTCATCACATGAATAATTTTTTTTTTTATTTTTATCAAGTCGCGACTCGCGACTTTCGCGAATAGCGACTCGCGACCTCGACTCGCGACTCGCGAGTACAACAGAGGCTGATCCGGGTAAACTCTCGACTTGTAAACTACAAGTCGCGACTCGCGACTTCATGTCGCGATTCGCGACTTCTTGTCGCGAGTCGCGACTTATATTTTTTTTATTTTATAATTAATATGTTTATCCCATAAACATTTAATTATCTTGTTTATCACATAAACATTAACAAATTATAATCTGTTTTTAAAGATGATAACCGTGGCTCTTACACCACTGTTGGGTTCGCCTGTACCGTACGGGTTATACGCAGCTGAAAAATATGTTTCAAAAACAAGTATTTATCATATAAATACTCAACCCATACGTACATATAGCGAATGTACGAATCATCATCATTTAAAAGTATAGAATAATACAAATTATTATTTGTAGTAAGTAATTTCGAAAATTACCTTTGTTCTTGAACTCCTTCAAAACCGACGATGGATGAGGAAATCAATTCCCAATTTTTGGTAACGTCCACTTCTTGATGTTACTCGCTTTAGGAATTCAAATGTCTTCCCTCTAAGAGTATCCACCTTTTGAACTCCGGTTCCGACTATAGTTTCTTCGCTAGTAGAAACTACTCGGTTTTTCAATAAGTATAAAATATATATATATTTATAAGAAAATTTTACAAGAACTTTTTCTTGTTTTATCACTCAACTATTTGGATGATTTTTCTCTTTGGAAGAACTTAAAAAAACTTAGCAATTTATGTACAAACATTTTGCACCTATTTATACTAAATATTTTAGCATAAAATAATCAATATTTGATAATTATTTATTTTAAATAAAATCAGATTTTATTTAAATTATCATACCAAATATTGACTTTTAATTAATAATGTGGAGTGGTTTATAACCACCATCAACCACCATTATTTTGTCTCTCAATTATTTGAATCTTTAATCATATTAAAGATAAAATAATAAAATAATAATTCTTGAAAACATTTTTCAAGACTTTATTATTTTAATCTTTTCTTTCAATTTCCTTATTTAATAATTAATTGGATTTGAAATTTAAAATCCAATTTTAAATTCCAACTATTAATTAGTAATTCCA